CTTCGGCCAGTGGGGGCAGTCAGCAGGAGAAGGGTTTACCCTTGAACAGATGCCTATGCTAACACTCGAAGAGACTCTCACACTCTCTCATACCATCCCACAACTGCCCTGAGAGCTAACTCCAGGCTAAGCTAACTTGTGACTTCAGAGAAAAGGTGTTAAGGGTGGAAAACTTGGACTGAAATGGTACCTGTTCAACTTCAGCAAAGCAATGTCTGCTCCACTTGGTTCCTTTAATACTTCCTGAACACTTCGGATTTGCAGGGATGGCTCTGCTGCATTGAGATTCTGTATCCCAAGAAACACCCTGTAGGAAGAAGGCTCTGTTGACCTGGAAGAAATGATAGCAGCAAGGTTATACATCCATATTTGTAATCATGAATGTCACTCTTACAAAAATTCAGTGACTTCCCTGGACAATTGCAATTAACAAGATGATCAGGCTGCTGCTTCTGATCATAGATGCCCACATTTATTCTTGGGGAGAAGGAAAATGTGGCTTTTTTAACAGTTCAATTTTTATGACTGAAAAATCCCGTGCGCTGTAAACAATGTGGCACCCTCTTGCAGTGTTCACAACTCCTGAAGCCCTAAGGGTCAGCTGCTAACCGAAGTTTTTCCGAGGGCAATTAGCATCAGCACAACGTTAGCACTCTTTTTGGCATGCTTTGGGGTGGGGGAGAGGGCAGAAGACAGAGGTAACCTCTGTTCAGCTTGCTGGCAAGAAAGACAGGAAATAGGGAGTAAAGAAAGTGCCTTATTTGGTACATCCTGCTCCTCTTTTGATTTTCTCACACAGCTTTTGGAAATGCCTGTCACTCATTCCAGCAGATACTCACTCTTGCAAGCACTGAGCTGCGGTAAGGACCCACTGTGGATGTATCAGAGTGCCAGCACAACGGTGCACGTTGGTACTAGAATAGACAATCACATGCATTTAAGACTGTGCAGTCAATTCTCCACACCCATGTTGTGCACAATGGGAAATATTAGCGAACTAGCAATAACCCCTTTATTCAAACCTTTCACCAGTCAGAGTTTGTCTTTTGCCAATGGCAAGAGAAATCAAATGCAGATTTTCAAAGGACAAGCTTTATTTGCTCCAGGACATGAGAGACTTGAAAAGAAATTTGACACCCAGGTGAAATTTTTGTAACAGGGCATTCTTGCTTTCAGGAATTTAATAAAAATAATTACATTTCCTATCAATTTCACTTGTGATGTAATGGGTTTGTCCTGATGAGCAAATAATAAAATGATACATACTTCTGATTTGTGGCGTTGCTTTGGACTACTTCTTTAAATAAACTTTATTATGGACTTTAAACTTTTCTTGGGATATAATTTTTATTATGGTGACTGTCAACAACTCTATAAAAATTTTCACTAGCCTTTCTGTAAACCCCTCTTCATCTCCTGTTCAGCCACTCTCATTGTGACTGTGGATATTATGCTATGCAGAATCGTGTTTTTATACCGAGAGACAATATTTTTCCTGTGGCTTCTAACACAACTAGGGTGATCACCATATCAATTTAAATTTGAACCAGATTGGATGCTGGGTGAAAAGAGATGATCCATTCATACACAATGCAAGTTGGTGGCTATATTCCTGAGCCCCACTGCAAGTAACTGTCATTATCCTCAGTGGGGATTATTCCTTCCCCATTTCAGTAAATAAAGGTGTACTTAATGTCTGCAGTTCAAGTTTGCCCTCTAGAGACTCAGGAGAAAGTGGGGAGTTTGGGATTAATGACCCAATAAATAGCTATCTGTGAACATTATGATTAAAGAAAAGTTTATTTTACACACTAAGTCATTTTATATAGAAACCAAGGTCAGTCTCCAGAAACATATGCGTTGTTTCCTGTTAGTGTCTTTCTAATGCCTGTTCCCTGTGAAACCCTGCTGCTCACGGATGGTGATACAGTCTGCAATACCAGTACCTCATCCTGAGACTGATGTGCCAAGGCCAAGACCCTGGAGATGCGTCACACATCCCATATTGCTCACAGGCTTGCTCACTCCTCATTGGGACTTTTCCACAGTCATGCTCAGAAGCTACAGAATAAAACAAGCTACAATGGAGAATTTTAAAGCAGTTCTGTAATGCCATCCACAGTGCAATCAGATGAAAAGAGAAAGGCCTGAGACATTTTTTTGTCTTCCTTAGGCTTTCACTCTTTACATTTGTTAATAGAAACTAAGGGTAAAAAAGCAATGAGAACCTTTAGACTCCATTATATTATCATTACTTTGAGCATTTAAACCTGGGGCTAATATATCACATTTGACATGATAAAATATTAATTTACCTGGAAAAAATTGTTAGCTATGTCAAGGATTTGGCAGCGGTCAGCTAACATAATGAGCCCCATAATGAGCCCCACCCCCAGAAGAACATCTGCAGGGAATTTGAAGGGAAAAGAGAGCTAAAGAAAGTGGAAGAAGCTGAAGGCAAAAGAGAGCTAAAGAAAGTGGAAGAGTTTATTGCCCAGAAAATAATAACAATTTCTAAATTCCTTGAAACATTACAGTCTACACTTTGGTTGAGTTCAAACAACTCCCTAGATGACAAATAAAATTGAGTCACTGTCCCCTGTCATAAAATATTCAATTTTGCCCTCACGCTGCTCGCTCTACTTTCTCGTTAATCCAAATCTCTCTGAACTTTTTAAAATGGATTGAGCTTGGGTGCTCAGTGAGGACCCAAATAACTCTTTCCAGAGCTGCGTATGGTACTATGGATGTTAAATTTGTTAGTTCCAGTATGAGACAATTAATAAAGTAATCAAAAGCAAGAGACTGTAAGGTTCCCCTACACCTTAATTTAAAAACCTAGTAATGAAAGGCTTTTTTGAAAAGAGATCAGATCTCAAAGTGAAGTTCCACCAGAACATTTCCAGGGAGCAAGTTTTTACAGCTATGGTACGTGTTGTTTGTATGCCATTCCTTATCATTTTTGCCTGAGCAGGTCTTAGATCTAGTTGACAAAATTAATGTGTACAATCATAATGCACTGCTGCTCAGAGAAACACAGAGCAGGGACTGGGCCTCCAGATGTTCTGTAGTAAAAATAATGCATGAGATGAAGAAGAAATAGACTTTCCATATCCCTGCCAGAAATATTAAGAAAAAAAAAAAGTATCAAAATGCGTGCAAAGGAAGGAAGAGCAAAGCAAATGAGATGACTGCCAGGTGTGCCAAGCAGCGCTCCCAGTACATTGCAGCTGTTATTGATGCCCACTGCCAGGGCACCACAGAAGGTAAAATCTATTTTGCTGCTCGATTTTTCAACAAACACTGCACTTGCTCAGTGTACTGATTAGTATCCCAAAAGAGAAAAAAGAATTAAGGAAATCTGTGTAAAATATCCAGCACCAAATTTACTCCCAACCCCAAAAGAAAGGCAAAATATCTAAAGACAGATTATTTTAACATCCAGATCAGAATAAAAATTAAGTCAGAGAAGGATGAAAAGGGTTTCAAAGGATGTAATCTCTGGTGCTCCCAACTAAGACGAAAAGCGAACGAGCAGGTTCTCGAGGCATTAGTCCTGCCACAAAGTGCATGGAAAGACTAGCATGAACATCAAGGAAATCCTCTCCTGTGTTTGAGGGAAGAAACACCTCTCTTCACAGCTTCACTGGATAGTTCAAATTCAGCTAGCAACTCTGAGTGCTTAGCTTCACCAACAATAAAGAGCACACAGATTGTTACGTATGAAATCTTAGTGACGATTCTTAGCACCAGGTTATCTAAACTTTGACTGTTACAGATGCCTGATTGTGTCAAACTCCCATACAGACCTAAATTCAAATCTAAAGCTACTGCCTACTGCAGTTTTATATGGCTAGGTTGAAAATATTTTGTAACTATCATAACAAGTGCAAAGAGAGGACAGAGAAGTCTTTAAGGATAATTACAGCAGCGTGGGATTTCACAGTACTCCCATTTTTTTTCTGGGTCTGTTGTGAAGCACCAAACACCATTTACATCTCCATCAGGATTCCTGCAATACTGTAATAATTACAAAAACAGAGAATGAAGACTCCAAATATTAGCCACAGAATGAAGAAGTCTATGAGTGCATGTTTTTTAAAAAAATGTTGAACTAAAACTTGGAATTCTTTCTGCCAACTACTGTTATACTAAATGTTAAATGCTTTCTATTTCCTCTGATCATAAAATTCTTTCTTTCCTGCATCTCAAAACCATTAGGTGAAATTAGAAAAATATGATAAAATTGCTATCATTTTTCTCATCCACCAAGAGTCACCCCAGCTCTAGTGCTTTTTAAGGCCTCACAAGAAGTCAAGTTTGACATAGGATGCCCAAATGCTTTGCACTAAAATATTTATTGTTGGCCTAATCCTTCTTTCCTAAAGTTAGTGAGAGCAGATTAGGTCAGGTCCAAGAATTTGCCAGTAGCCTGCTTAGTCTGTGACAAGCAGCAAAAGGCATTGCTTTGGGGTTTGCAGAAATCATGGAAGGCCTGTATGATTTCTTTCATGCTGCTTGCCTGTCAGCCTCAACCCCACGGTGTACCTCTGTGCTTGAAGTACCAACATCCTAGGTAATGTAAAGCGCATCCTGCCCTCTTCAATGCTATTACAGGTCTGAGCTATCAATGTGATGACTTCCAGATACGCTTAACCTGGTCTAGGAAGACTGAACATGAAGTGTTTACAAGGGTTCATGGAGAACAGAGACGTATTCGATGACACCAATGGCATTAGCAGCTGTTTACATTTTTATCCAGGCCTGCTCTTGGATGAGTCACGGGAGTGAAATATTTGTGGCTATGAGGTCTCTGAGAACTCCACTCTTGACAAGTCCTGCCCCTTCCAGTTTTTGCTACTGTGCCACGATAGTCTTTACCATTACCGTTAATGCAATCTGTGAAAAAAAGAGGAAAAGGAAATTACTGTTAGCTGATGGTTCTGTATGTGGTGGTGGTAAGCAGAAACAAGCCAGAGTAAGTACCTTTGGGACTTGCACACTCTCTAGTGTCTACAGCAGAAAGACAAAAATGTACCCTGTGATGTGATGATCTCTTAGCTTGTCAAGATGGATGTCTTCCTGTATGTACAGAGTAACTGAATTGGAAAAAAATTCAAGGAACTTCAGGCTAAACATTTACTGTAACATATTGCAACTACTTGAAAAGACTCCAAGATTCTTGCCAAGTTGGTATCAGTAAGCACCTTCCATGAGAGAAGCATATTTTTGAGTTACCAGCGTATCAGACTGAATGAGCAATTCTTGCTTCCAAGGATATTGTTTCAGGTACTTTCTTCTGCTGCACAAAAGTAAGAGTACACAGCTCCATTTAGGAAAGTGTCTTTTATCCAACCCTGCCGCCTTCCTTTGCAAAGTAAATAATCCGTGGAAAGTTCTACTATACATTCAGAAAAGTTAAACCACTTTGACCAACATGGACTATAAAGGAGAAAATGAAGCAGGATAGAGCAAAAACTTGTTTCTCTCGGTGCATACGTTCTGCAAAACATGGTTGCCTGTGAAAAATACAGCAAGCTAAGGTCAACCTCCTGAAAACATAAAGCACAGTACAAGCAAAATTCCTGTAACAACATTCACTGTGATTGTATTTCAACAGTACACAGCTACAGAAACACTTGAAATTTTGTTTATTTTCCTCTTGTTCCCCAAAATGAAAAAGATATTCTACAGAATGCACTGTAAAATGGTATAGGCTACAGAATATGAACTGACTAAACAGTACTTGCTGCAAAATTCACCAGTACAGATCTGAAAGCTGGAGGAGGGATGTGACAGTTATGTTGCAGCCCTACTCAAGAATAATTTTGATAGATTGCGATTTCCTTTACCCACAGACTCTACAGGACGTGACATTTATAGTCAGCTGTTACCAGATGTGGTGGGTGTAGTCAGGCCAACATTTTGTGCCGTCGTTACAGGGGGGTCATTTGGTGCAGGCTCTTGTGTACGATCATCACATCTCTTGAGATTGCAGTACTCCCATGTCACGCTGGGGTCAGTGGTGAAACACCAAGGGCTGTTATCACCATCTGGGTTTCTACAATAGTTGTCCCTCAAATCCCTGAAAAAATAAGTAGAAAAAATAAGTAAAAAAAATAAGTAAAAAAATAAGTCAAGCTGCATAAGACTGAAAGTAATCACAGGAATATTTTGCCAAAAAGATGCGGATCTGTACTATGTAGAGATAAATAAATTTATTAATTTTTTACTTATTGCCAGATATCCTATTACCAGCAAACACATTTATGGCTGTGATTTGAGTGGAGAGTTATATTTCACATGTACATTAGAGTCATGCATATGTTTATGCATAAGGAAACGTAATTCAACTACTGGCTTAAATTCTGGCTGTAATATGTCAATGTGCTGACTAGCTAAATACATGTCTGATATGCCAATAATTTCATTTCTAAGCACATATGTATAAGCATACACAATTGTGTGAATATGTGAATTAGTAATAAATATGCAGGAAGATCCATAGTACTGGTGGGCAATTATGCTTTTCCAAAATTTTTATTTTTAAATGTCAAAGGGTTCTTTATCATATGCTGAAGAATGGCAAACAAATACTTATACAAATGACCCCCCATCCCTCAAAAAACCCCACTTCTACTGAATTCAGTGGGAAGTAGAATTTCTCTCTTCAATAATTTGCAGAGTTACAGTATTTCCCCAACCTGATTCACAGCACAGCCACAGGATAAAAAAACCTGAAATGCTTTTTTTCTGAACATGCCAGAACAGATGAATTCCACATTTTCACAGCTTGATTTCATTTTTTTTTTAAAGTTTGTGAAAAACAGCATCCCCTCTGAGGATGTTCCAGTTTCAACACATCAGTATTTTTGATGCCAAAATATGACTGAAAATTTCCAAAAAAAAGAGGCATCATAAAGAAAGCAAAAAAATAGAAAAGTATCAACCTTCCTGCTTATACTTATAATCCACCAAGCAATGATGGATTTCCTAGCAATTGGCATCTTGTTGCTTTCCTACCCTTATTAACAACTGGCACATTAGTAATTATGATTAGCTCTCTAAGTCATCACTGGTCCAGTTTAGTTAATCTGAAGAAGACAAATCAAGGGGACAAATTCAGTGTATGCGATTCTGGGTGCCCAATTCCAACTACAAAAAAAACATTTAAATGGCAGTTCTAATCATAATATATCTGACTGCATGTTTTGCAGCATAAATGCTGTGTTGTCCCCAGGTGCAATAAGTAGAAAGGCCACCACAAAGGTCTCAAATTCATAAACAAAATGCATATTTCAGCAGATGCCCAGACTTTGTATACAAGTCTCCCAGTGTTGGTTACAGAAGCTCAGATTTAAGAGTAAAGGGACACAACTGCATTTTACTCCGAATTTAAATAGAAGAAAACATAGTTTTTAAAAATGAGACTAATAGAAAATGTTCCTGCATCTTGGAAAAAATCTCTTTTATAGATACATTCCCTGACAGTGTTTTAAAGCGCAGATCTGCAAAGATAATACAATCAGCAATGGTGATTGTCAGATAAAGCAAGAAAACGCTAGATAAACATACGCATTTGGAAATCTGTCTGGGGTTTTTTCATGCCTGTGTGGGAACATGGAGTTCCAGGCCTGGCATTTCTTTCCCGATGCAGTGATGGAAGTTGTGCCGCGATAACTCTGGCCTTTTCCGCGATAGCACTCCTCTGACAGGGGAACCTGCACAGGCACATCTGCAGCAAACAACAGAAACTGGTCTTTTGCATCACAAATGTCCTTACTGAGCCAGGCACAAGAAAGCATCAAACACACAGGATGACAAAAACGAATTACACAGACAGTGTCCAGTGAGAGCATCACGGCCAGCATGAAAAGCAGAAGGGCATTTCCGAGGATATTTAGAATACTTTCACAGATTACCCTCATATGTCAGATGTCAGTCAGTGGAAGGTTCGCCCCTCAGTTTTGTTTTGGTATATGTGAACATGTTCGAATTAAAGATCGGAAAGTTCACTTGAAAAATCCTTAAAGATTAGATGCTAGTGATTTTGTCCCAATATATTTCCAAATTGGACATTATGTTAAACTTTAATCTCTCTATTATCCTTTTGCTTGCACTAAGACTTTCTTGTTATTTTTTATGTTTAAATGAATGGATGTTTCAGATGAGATTTTTACTACTTTGGAAGATCCTGTCCTCTCTTTTGTGGCTACTTTCCAAAAATGACACTTCCTTTTATTTAGTACTTTCTCATTTCTTTAAATCTGTTTTTCATTTTTCAGTTAACTTGCTAAAAATGCCCTACCTTTAAGAAAAAAAGGAATATAAAAAATAAGCCTCTTTCATCCTGTAATTCTTCTGTTGGGTTAGCTGGTGATTAACACCCTTCACTGCATTTCCTTAACCATTGAACTCCAATATTTGGCAGGTTTTGTAACATGCCAAGCAGAAAAACTGCATTAACAACAGCGATAAAGTGACTGAAAAAAAAGATTTAACACATTTACAATGAGAAACAGTAAGTCTTTCACTGTTTTAAAGTCCTTATCTCAAGTACGCTCCACTATTCATACCAGCAATCCCCGGTTCTGCCCCATCGCAGTGGGGAATTGCACAATATTCCCACCGAACTCTGCTGTTGATGGTGTAGCACCAAGGCCTCTTCTCTCCGTCAGGGTTTCTACAGTAGTTTTCCTCTAAGCCCCTGAAACAGAAACACCAGCCTTAAACTACTCATAGAAATCAAGAGTTGTATGCAAGACAATTAACAACTACTGCATGCAGAACTCAACTCAGTGGTTACATCAACAGCCTTTGAATTTACAGTCTAAATGCTGATGATATATGAAGAACTTTTCCAATGCTTACACTTTCTGCTCTTCTTTTTGAGGCCAGTAAAAGCTGACTTCAAAACACAAGCCGTCGGTGTGCCTGACTGTTATGGTAAGAGCCAGGCGAGGCTGGGTGTCACGGACTGATCCTGGAAGGGTGTGCGTATAAGCACCGGTGCACGCCGCTCCCCTCTCCATCTGGGATGATGGACGGGGTTTCAGAAGCCCAGGAAAACTTGCAGGATCCATTTCATAACCCACAGGATCAAAATACAGAGCTAAACCCCTGCTCAGTCCCAGCTACCCTTGCCCATTGATAATGCTCTGGAAACCCAACTCCTCTGACCTTGGAGCACAAGGATGTATTGGAGCATCTTGGACCATGGAACATCGCTCTTCAGAAGAATAATGCATTGAAAGTGTGCCAAAACACAGCCAGGGGATTTTTAACATAAAAGTAGTAAATACTTATAACTGCATTGGGGTGTGGAGGAGACAGGTGAGACAAGTACCTGAGAATAAAGTGGCTGCTAAAACAAAAAAAAGGAATGCTGAAAAAAATTAAGGGCAAGACCTGAACAAAAGTAATTAGAGCTGACAAAAGGTGAGAAAACAGCTTATCAATTTAGCTGCAGAAAACTTGTGCTACTCTTGTCTCTGCATCCGGATCTATGAGGAACAACTAGGTTCTTTGTAATTCATTAAAATGATGAGGCTCAGCATACTTGCAGGGATATCTGTCAGGAATCCACCCATGTCTGTGTGGAAACTGTGTGTTCCAGTGCTGGCAGGCATTTCCCGATTCAGTGATGGCTATCCTGCCTCGATAGTCTTCTCCTTTCCCTGAAAGACACTGGGAGCCCAGGCCAGAGACTTGTGGGTATGTAGCTGTAACAGAAATTAAAAAAAAAAAAAAAAAGAAAAAGAAAAAGAAAAAGAATAAAATAAGAAACACAGCTAGACAGTGCTTTCAAACATATTAGAAACCCCTCTGTTTTCTGTAGTGTCGAACATGCATTTTTTTTTTATTTCAGCAGAGGTGACACTGGTTGAAAGCCATGGCAAAACCAAAGTGCACATTTTCACAAGCAGATCTCCTGTGTCTGCCTTTTTACAGCAGTCAGTAAATAACTTTGCTGGGTCAAGCCAGACTTTGTGCCTGCAGTCCCCTGAGAGCAGAGCTGGAAAGGCAGTAAGTAGTCCCGTACAGTCCTGTAAAAGCAAGTGAGATGAAGGGAGCGTGTTAATATAATACGCACAGGTAGTGTGGAAGGGCAGAAAGGATAAGGGCGAAGAAGAAATTGTGAGAGAACGCAAAACGGCCTTCAGAGCTGAGCCTCTGGAGTCAGTGAATTGGGAAAGCGGGGCAGAAGGAAGAGTGAAAGAAAATGAATTGGTCTGGCATGTGGGGAACAGCAAAGAATAACAATCAGAGGCACAGAACCTGCAGAGGGCAGAGAGAAAATGAATCTGCAGTGCATACCTATTATACATACTTTGCATATGGAATTTTCTGAAGAGACAAGTATGACTCTAAAAGGTTGGTCTGTTCCTTAAACTTTAAGTTTTAAGCACAAAATGGAGATGCTATGGTAACTTTCATAATTCACTTTATCATACAGAAGACTATAAATAGTCATTCTTCCATCTTAATTGAGCACACTGAGGTGAACTACATCTAGCAAACACATGCCACTGCTTAGAGCACTGGCAAGTGCAGATGCATAAGAAAGCAACCTCTAGAGATAAAAACACAATTTATTTTTTCTCAAAGTGCAGTCCAGTTCTACAAATGGCAATGCTAATCTTGTGATTCAGTGCTTTGGAAATGTCCAGATTTAGTGTGTTTAACTTAATGGGTTAAGCTAGCTCACTGATAAGTCAGGTTTTTCTCCTGAGACCTGAACTTGTTTCTCAGCATTTGTCCCTTGCTAAGAAAAAGGCAGTGCTGGCTAGACCCAGGTAAAATGTATGGCCACATGGTGGTTTAGGTGTTTTCCATGAGTTAACAGGTAAGCTGAAAACTACCACCTCATTTAACCTGAATGCCCTGCCTCTCAAGTAACTTGAAAAATAAGGTGGTTGAAGACAAATTAGTGTCTCCATAACATCTCTGGCATTATTGCACTTTGTGGCACCTGCATCCTCACTGACCTCACATGATCTTCTGTAACAGAAATTTAGTGAGTGGTTCTGCTTATTAATGTGCACTTTCCCTGGTTCGCAAGGATTTCCTCAGGTTACTCAGAACTGTGATTTCTTGTCTTTCCCCTGCCTGTATAATTTTAATGAGAAAAGCTAGCTTCTGGAGTGATCTCAGGAAATCAGACTCACAGCAAGAAGGAATGTTGCAATATTCCCAGCGTTTAGTAGGGCTGGTAGTGAAACACCAGGGCCGAAGTTCACCATCAGGATTACGGCAATAGTTCATCTTCAGATCTTTCTGTGGAAAACTGCACATTGAAAATTAAAGAGAAGCTGTTGAGTCAGCTATGGCCAGCTGTAGCGATTAGGCTGTCTGCAGGGTTTCCCAGACACTGCAGGAATGAATTCAGTGCTGAGCATGACTCACTGTTTCGAGGTAAATCCATGCATATGAGGCTCTTGGGCATCCCAGCGCTGGCACTCAAGCCCAGACTCTGTTCTGGAAACTTCTCCATGGTAGTCCTCACCATTACATTGCATGCACTCCACTGTAGGGCCTAGGCAGAATGAAAAGAAAGCAAAGTTTGCACCAGCCCGTGAATTCTGACCCTGATCCATTCATGGAAGACTGCACTGAAAGGAAAAGAGGATTTTGCTCCAGCTAATGATGAAAGGAATCCAGAAGAGCATGCATTACAGCCTAGTCAAATGAATAAAGCTTTAGGGATATGTGTCATTTGAAGGGAGGACTTTGTCATGTATCTGTATGTAATGATAGCAATCGGAGTTCTGTAACACAACACTTTGCTTTTGTTAAAATGAAATAAATTGCTAGGGGTAAGAGCAGGAAAATATCATCAAACGATTAAAAAATTTTAGTTCCTCCATATTTACAAAATTAGTTTGCTAACTGGAACCAATTAGGAAAATAACTTTTGTGTTGAGAACTTAAGTTCCAGCTAGATCTAAATTCACATTTGAAACCAATCTGCAATAATAAAACAAGAACAAATGGCAGAAATGATATCACCTACTCAAACACCCCTTCTCTGAAAAATAAATATACCTTCTCCAGTGTGCGTGACCTGGCCCTCACAGTCTGGGATGTTACAGTAATCAAATCTGGTACCAGGATCTGTTGTGTAACACCAGGGTCCTCTTTCATCCCCATCAGGATTTCTGCAGTAGTTTTCTTCCAATCCTGCATTGGGGTGTTTTTCAGGTGTATAACTGTAATAGTATTAAAATTCTATTTTAATTCCAGTAATTCAGTGGAGCAGAAGGGAAATGTCCAACTTCCTCAGCTAGCTGTGGGCTCTGATCGTCCACAGTAAAAATGAGACAAACAGATTCCCCATTGTAATCCGTAAATGAAACCTGGAAAACATTCCGTAACTACCATTACTAGTAGCTTCTCCCTAGGTTCCAGTTGCCAACAATGAGTGAGCTTACAGCCTGTAAGGACTATGACAGTCTCAAAAGACAATTATTGTCTTTAATACTTGCATCCAGCTAATCTAGTCAGCTCACTATGGCCTGTGGCTCTGTCATGTATTTTTCTTAATGTAGCTACTTTAGAGTAGTTAGTTAGTAGAGGCTATTCACCAAACACAACTGGATCCTAATATGCAGAGACTTTGAAGGAAGTGACCCTAGGCTTCTTCTTATAGCAAACCTCCCAGAGAAGACTAAATGGCTTTTAAACAAAAAATCTAAACAGGCACATCCAAGTTTCATTAGAATTACAACAAAAAATAATTTTTTAAACAGATAAAACTCCAACATAGAGCAGAGAAAATAGGACTTCTGTTTCCACACTTGCTTCAGCGAGCCCAATGGCAGTCAGCCCTGGGCAGGTCCCTTTGGCACTTTGATACTTTGAGGATGTTTCTTCTTGACTGTCTGGATGGCAGGCAGAGGGTCATAAAGCTGGACAGATACCATTGCTTTCTCTTTTCACACCTCATACAGAAGAGAGAAATTATGGCCCCACTGTCACCTATAGCAAAATTTTCATCATGTGTTGATAGGAACATTTCACCTTCTCAAGAGGCCCAGCATTTAGACATAACTCCTCTAGCTGACAATGCACCCTTTCCTTACCCAGATCATTGCAGTTCTCTGCTAGTAGAGTCAAAAGTAACAAGAAAGATGAAGATAAGGTTGTCTTAAAAAATCACCTGGCTTTGGTAACAAGCCCTATAAAGTTGTTTATACGGATGAGGTTGGGGAAGCTTGGAAGAGATTCAGAACAACATGAAGACAAATATAAATAAGGCCATACTTTGGGTTGTGGGGTGTTTTTTCTGCCCACTTCTGGCATGGAGTACCTCTCCGAGTTTTGGCTTCCATTCCTCTGTAGTCCTTCCCAATCCCTCTTTTACATTGCAGAAGGTAAACTGAAATGGAATTGACTTTATTAATTCAATGGTGTTACAACATTCGTCTCTTGAAACTGACGAATCTGTCAATATAACAGAAATATAACTCTGAAAATATAACTCTGAAGTTCATCAGTTCATGATAACCATGTTTTACCCATGTTTTGAACCTCTTGTGCATGCAAACACAAATGTGATCCCATAAGGCATTTTAAAACAATTTAGTTACCAACTACTAGGCAACTACAGAGGAAAATTCCTGAAGCATTTTTATACAGCTAATAAAATCTAGTTAAGAAAACAGGTATACCAAGTTACAATTGGTTTTGACATGTATAAAATGTACGCTTATACTATCATACTCCTGGGATTAAAAGGATGGTCTTTTGCCAGCAGCTGGAGATTCTTTGAAATGCATTGTTCATAAGTATGTTTGCAGTGTGGGTGTCATGCAACTATCTCTTCAAGCCAGAAAATTTTTAGTTATCAAAATATGTTTGTCACATAAGTGGCCCCCAAACTTTTGATTCCTCTTAGCCTCAGACTCCCATGTACTTTCTAGTGGGATTCCAAGGTAGAGAGAATGCAAAACATGTTGATGATGCTTTTATTGGCAATAGACACTGAAAAATCTCCAGTTATTGTGGGGAGTAACCCTGATTTCCCCTTCCAGCAATTTGCTTGCATAAGAAGGATCCCCCTAAACCCCAAAATATAAAATGGAAATGTTAGCACAAGAGACCAATTTGATAGGAAAAGCTGAGCCTTGTTTGGACACCTTGCAAGAGTTACTGCTGTCACAGTGTGTGGCTGGGACTACGGATGTCTGTGCCGCGTGTCTTACCAAAGGGGAGCTGCTGCCTGGTTGTCAGGGTACTACTGAAATGCCCAAAAGTCTTGTCACTGCTGCTTCCACACTGGTACTCCAGTAGCAGTTCCCAACATGACCATCTCTGCTCAATAGCTTTGGTATTTGATCCCTCTTAAACAGCATTTTTAGTAACATTGCTTCTTTCTGTTCAATCCACAAAGTCTCTTTTACTTTTCTGTCCTGTACAGGAGTTCGCTGTGCTGGCCTATAACAACTGATAGTCTGTGTTCCTCAAAAGAGAGATGAGATCAAAAGCCAAACTACATGTCAAGGCAAAATTAAGGTTTGACTGGGGAAACTGCTCTGTAAAGAAGAAGTCTCTAACCAAGTTCTTAAGAAATGTTTCAGTGACTAAGTGCCAAAACTTTGATTATTACCCCTACAAGAGGGTAAGAATCCCAGATGGCCATTGAGCTAGTAAAAACGCCGTGGTTCTTAAACTCTGAGAGGCCAATTAGAACCAAAGGAAAAGGCACTCTTGGAGGTGTGGGTGGGAAGAAATCTGACACAACATAATGTAGTGAGCATGGCCCACAAAAGCCATGTATCTGGGCCTTGTGGATTATTCCTACTATTAACAAGGAAGCTGTAATCAGAAGAGGATTCCTTATACAGGGTTTTGCCATTAACATAGGGAAAGTAAAATTATAACTGCTAGACATATATTCATGAAGTTGCCTTCGTAACTATGGACAATCCAGAGCATGGTCTGCATAAAGATCCCAAAGTGTCTGTGGTGGGGTAAAATGTGAGTGCTTAACATTGGGTGACCCAGCACAGCCACGCAAACTCTTACACTCACAGAGGAGTGAAGCTTTTGGTTTTAAAGTAGATGTTTTGTACAGATATTTTGAATCCAATCCCAAAGATAATAAGCTCTGGCAAAGGCTGAGGCCAGAGCAGCCATTACAAACTCCAAAGTCTGAGTCAGGCATAGGTGGGACTGCACAGTCACCATGAACCTAAGGGAGTGGCAGAGTCACAAAATGTCCTGGAGATTCCTTTCTCCAGGCAGAACAGATGCCATCATATCTCAGCAGAAAGGAGTTTTACAGCAGCTGTTTCCTGGTGCTGAGGAGTCATGGTGGGGACAGAAAACTTTTCTAAGAATTAAGGAAATTAAATGTCTTTATCTGCAAATTCAAGTTCGGGCTGGGTGACGCTGGTTGTGATAATTAGATTGCTTCTAGGAAGATGAGTCTCACTTTTGAGAGTACAATGCACTTTAACAGCCTTTTGGGAAATATCTCTGGTTTGAGGTGGATTGGGGCTATTACAGACACCAAATTATCCAGAGACTTCACAGATTTGTTGGCAGTGGTAGCTGTGAGTTTCAGAAGGAATGAGATAGTCTTTTATTCCTGCTAGTGAAAAATAGAAGGAAGATGACTCTACGTCCTCTGTTTGAAAAAAAAGATCTGGCTGCCTTAAGGCTTGGGTATATGGGTTGGGTCATTTCAAAGAACCACCACCATT